TAGGAACAGGACTTTGAGTTGGCTGTGGGTTTGTAGGACTGTTTGTAGGGAAGGGATATGAAGTATCTGTTGGTTGTAGGGCCGAGGAGCCGATTGTAGGGCTAGGAACCTCTGGAATTTTTGAGCCGCCTTGTGAGGTAACTACCAGGGCAACGATTACAACGACGGCAGTAGCAAGAAACAGAAGCGTTCCCAAGCAGACTTTTCTCCCACGATTGGATTCCGGAATACATATCAGCTTTGTTTTTGGCTGCAGTCCCTCGAGATCCACAATTTCAGCCTGTGGTATGTCTGCTGGCTCAGTTTCAAGCCTCAGGTTGGACTCGGACACCAAGGTGGCCTGCACCATGTAGTCCTCTTGGATGTTCTCACTTGGTGGGTGGTCTTCTGCTTCTGGCTCCATCGAAATGTCCGGATCGCTTCTTCTTGGAGCGCTATCCGGCCCTGGGCCGTCCACCTGGACGCTGATAAAATTAAAGCCTCGTTTGGGAGGTGCGACCGGAGCTTGAGATTCTTCGTTGCAGTTATTGGCTGTGTTTGCGGGCCTGCGAAGACCATACTTTCCTTCAGACGTTCTCTGCGTGGCGCTTGCTCCCACGTGTGTCGCTGTCCCTCCGTTGTTCTTTTTCTTGGCAAGCTTATCTTCCTTGTTGCGTGCCAGACCTCGCATTTTCTTTCCGGCTGCAGCGCCACCTGCAATAGAGCCACCAATTTCCGACACAGCACCACCAGGCCCGGCGACAGTGCCAAGCTCCTTGCTTTCAATCTCTTTCTTAGGACTCGTGCTCATGCTCATGCTCATGCTTTCCAATCTCTTTTTGACTTGCAGGGCATGTACCGGTATTGCACGGCTGTTGTTGCTTTGGTGGGAGAATAGGTGTGGACGCGGAAGCAAAGACACGGCAAGAAAATTGCAAAGATACAGTGACGTTGAGTCGTGAGACTTTTATCTTGGCCTGTCGTGCGTTGGGATAACGTTGACGCGTTATAGTGTGTAACTAGTCTTATAATCATCCATATTCAGTCATAAAGGTTGATATATCGGAGTGTTACTTATTACATTGGTAGTGCTTGCATGATCGAGGAGGGGGACTGTTGGATTGCCACAATGTGTACGACTGTAGCTCTAACTAAGGCTTTTATCGGGCCCGTACAGTCGTACTCTAAATTCCGCGTCCTGCTACATGTAGCCTGCGATGGGGCAGCTCGCCACCCAATCCCCATCCTCTACTGTTTTAATTTCGTCTCCTGGAGACGATTTGCTTTAGGGGTAATGGTACCGATGGGGGCAGAGGTTTGAATTATACCCGGCGCGCATTACTTAGAAGGCCCTGTAGAAGTCTACGTATTCGACTAGTATTGTATTGACGGGATACAGTCAACGCATGTACATGCACATGAAAGTCACCTTGCGTTCTTCACATTTTAAAAGTTGGTTCCTAATTTTTCGGGGTCACCTGTGATTTGATTGGACGCTTGATCTTTTTTCAATGACTGACATTGAATGACGTACGAGGTGCAATGCGA